CACACACACACACACACACACGATTTCTCTGTGTAGCCCTGGCTGGTCTCTGCCTCCCGAGTGCTGGGATTAAAGATGTGTGCCACCACGCTCCGCTTTTTTTTTTTTTTTTTAAGACCATCTCTGTGCAGGGTTGCTAGCCTGAAACTTGCTGCCTTGGAGAGGGGTTAGTCTCCCCAGCACCCTGTCACTGGAGGGTTAAAACCTGCATGCCCTTGGTTCCCCTCACTTTCCAGTGGGCAGATGAAGCAGGGATGAGTCTGGCTTTCCCTGAGAATAATTAACTCAGTGTGTGGTATGAGGCAAGGTCTAGAACACCTTTCCCTGTGAGCCGCCACCCATTGGGGCAGCAGCAGCAGCAGCAACAGCAGTTTGCTAATGACAGAAGCCACCCCTACCTCCTGCATGTGCGCACTTGGTAAACTTTGTTTCACATACACGTGTACTGGATCGTGGTGCATTTTTGGTAGAGGGTAAAGAGCACATCTGAAAGCTGACAGGCTTGAGGAAAATAAGTGTTGGGCTCAAAAGGAGGCTTCCCCCTCTCTTCCTTCCCCTCCCCAATCAGCCCAAGACACTAGGACATCATCAGCACATCTTATTTCTCTGAACTTCAGTTTCCACAAAGGGGCTGAACAAGCTGAATTCTTAACACACATTAGAACGTCCTAGAAGTGTGTCCGCCCACAGGCTTCCAGGAGCATCTGAGCTCCCCCCAAGTCCTGGACTGCTAACGTGTGAAGAGCACCGCTCTCCTCAAACACTGGAGCAGCCCTTACAGAGCCCGCTCTAACAGGGGAGCCAAACACAGCACCTCCTGAGATGACTATTCTGGAACACATGCATATCCTGTGTGCTGCCCTGGGTAAGCTGTCAGTTCAGGGTGACGGCGGCGGCGGCGGCACTTGAACACAAGCAGAGGGGGCAGGGAGGGAGGGCTTGATCTGAAGAAGCAGGGAAGAACTTGGGCCTCCATCCTGGAGGGGCTCTAGATGCCTGGAGTGTGGCACAGGTTAACTCCAAGTGAAAGGCCATAAAGGTAAGGGTGGGAGAGGGAATAGTAGGAGGCAATCATCTGTATCAGCCCAGAGTACTTTGATGGAGAAGAGGTCAGGGTCTCGGAGATTCATACAGAAAGTGACAGATCAGGTACAGTATGTGTGACGGTCGACTTCATGACCCCTCAGGTTTGTGGCCTGGAAATCTGGAACGATGTAGTTACCATCAGCTGAGCTCAAGAGTTTCTGAGACAGATAAGTGGGTGGGGAGACAAGAAGTAGCCACCAATGGCCTTTTCCCCTCTAAAGGGCCCTTCAAACCAGAAAGGTCATAGCTAAGTTCTCAGAAGGACAAGTAGGGTGGCCCGCTGAGTCACTGATGGTTTACATGAAAACTGAGTGTGTGGAATTACAGAGAACTCTGTACCAGAGTCACTCTGGACCTCCCGGCCCTCAGAGGCTGCCTGTGTCTTTTCTTCTCAGACCAGCCCACAGATTTTGCAGGGCCACTGCCAGGCAGAGAGCTCACACAGGATCACAACTGGGGCTTTATTTTAGTTTCCAATACAACAGCAGAGATACAGGTAACTCAGACAGCTGCATCACCTTAAATATACCAGAAGCAAAGTCACTGTGTCAGGAGCCTTTCACGCTCCAGCCAAGATCACACAACAGTTAGCAGCAAGAAACTAAAGTGCTCCGCTAAACGTCTCAGGTACAGGCTCTCCCTGGTGGTACAAATGGAATTTTTACTTATACAAGCTCAAAATTTCATTCATTACTCAGGGGCTATACTGAAAAAGAGTTTATTCTATTTTTTCCCCAAAGAGAATACAACATTCGTTGGGATGTGACACTGATTTGTCCTGACCCACTGTGAGGTGATTCCCATCTGTCCAGGCTGGCAATACACTCACAACTTCTTCCCGTTCCATGCTGACCTTGACCAACACCATCACCGTCCCAGCAGACAGGGTAGACTGAGGGGCAAGTGAGCACACAGACATGGGCAGGAGAGGAAGGACATGGCCACGGGCACCCAACCAGCAGGACCTTGTCCCCAGGGGAGCTCCTGGCTATGGGTTTCTGGGATGGGCTGGGGCCCCGTGGTTTGTCTCTAAGACTCTCTATCTGGTCTACAAAGGCTTCATCACCCCGAAACTGCTTTTCTAAGACAGCCAACCTTGGCAACTGGACTCTCCCCCACTGTGACCAGTAACAATGTCAACATTCAGCAGTGGGAAGTTCAGAGCCGACAGGAGGCTAAGCAAGCAGCAGCAGGTTTCAGGAGCTGGGGGTCGGGGCAGGAGGAAAATGGCGGCCAGGCTTCTCATGCTGTCGTGTGGCCAGCTGCAATCATTGGCACAGGGTACAGTCTAGAGGACGGCGGCCAGGGAGCTTGCAGCAAGGCGGGATGAGCTGAAGTTAGGGAGCTGAGCTCCCAGGCTTGCGTGGCCCTCAGCGCTAGGTCAGACAGAGGGCTCTCTTCTGTGCCTACCTCCTCCAGACACCCCAGGCAGCCCCATCGTCCACCATTCCTCCTGCTACGTCCTTTAACCACCTGACCAACTAGCTCCCACCAGTAAACCAGGACTAACAGGCCCCACCTG